AGTTTTAGGCTTGTCATTTTTGACTGACGGTCGTGCTAGGCTGTGAGATGTGCAAGTTTCTCCAATATTAGCCCAGCATACATAAATACGAAGGGGAGGTAAATGGGGATTTTAACCTTTAAGAAAAATACCGATATAAAAGGTATCGAGTTATGTTTTCAAAATTTAAAGATTAAATTTTAGTTGTGTTTGTGCGTAGATGAACCTTGGTTATATTAAGTCAGTACGTACTTAAAAAAAGACCTTTTCTGATAAGGTTCCCGTTGTTACAAACGACGTATGTGGTGGTAATTACTGAATATTCTTAGTTAAAACTACTCGTCTTTCTAATCGCTGTTAAAACCCGTCTTTTCAGGGAAGACAGACATGTAGCTGTGAAAATAGTAAAAAATGTTGATAGGTACTCCGAAGCAGCTCGTGCAGAAATACAAGTACTGGAACATTTAAATGCATCGGATCCCAGCAGTACATAGTAAGTTTCCAAAGCCGGCTGTACTGTGTTTTGGCTTTAAGATTTCTGTGATGTCGCTTTCTGTAACATGACATATGTGTCTGAGCGTTATACAACTTCCTGTTACAATCTCGTGTATGTTCGTGCTTTTGCAGTCGCTGTGTCCAGATGTTCGAATGGTTTGAGTACCACGGACACGTCTGCATTGTTTTTGAGCTACTGGGGCTCAGCACCTATGACTTCATTAAAGAGAACGGCTTTCTGCCGTTTAGGATGGACCACATTAGACAGATGGCATATCAGATCTGCAAATCTGTGAACTGTATGTATGTTTCTTTTTTGCTTCATTTGTTAAATTTTCGTCATGGAATTTGCTAACCATAGTTGTTATCTTGCAGTTTTGCATTTGAACAAGTTGACACATACAGATCTGAAACCGGAAAATATTTTATTTGTGACGTCTGACTATGTAGAAGAATATAACCCCAAACTGGTAAACTGCTGTCCTCTCCCCCCCCCTCCCCCTCAGCCATCCTCTGGGCTTATTTGGTCACGTCCATCCCATTGCGTTTCATTTCAGAAATGTGACGAACGCACACTGAAAAATCCAGACATCAAAGTCGTGGACTTTGGAAGCGCAACATACGATGACGAGTACCATAGCACTTTGGTGTCTACCAGACATTACAGAGCTCCTGAAGTTATCCTAGGTCAGTGGAAGTCTGTTAGGCTGCTCTGTTGCGTAAGATTTTTTTTTGTATGCTATTGAACGGTGCCACAGGAGTGTTGCGTATCTTGCTTGAGCTGTTGAACTGTGTGCAGCCTGGTATAAACGTGAACCTTCTGCGTCTTTTTGCAGCACTGGGATGGTCACAACCGTGTGATGTTTGGAGCATAGGATGTATTCTCATAGAATACTACCTTGGATTCACAGTATTTCCGGTAGGTAATTGAACCTCAAAATCGTGCGGCACGTGTAACGCTCCCCAGCATGGTGAAAATGCGCTACAGCGAGGTGGGGACTAAGGGGAACGGTCTGTGCCAGAAATCAAGCTGCGTTTCTCTGTAATGCCAAGTTGAAGAGACCAGAAGATGTAGGCACAAAGGAACTTTCTCAGCAGCAGATTTCTACAGGTTGCTTTCAATAAACGTTTGGGCAGCAGCTTGTTAGGAAGGATGACCCTGTTAACATTTGTAATTTACAAGCCATGTTAACAACAGATGTAGCTTCATCTATCACCATCGGCAAATACCTGAACTCTGTCATCTTGACAGTATTGCTGAAACCTGAAATTTATGAACAAAGAAAAAAACAAACAAGGCAGGGGTCAAGGTGAAAAAACTCCAGTAGATTGTAACTTATTTCAGGAAACCGATGACTGCAGCCTCTGTACAGCCTTAATCTGAAACTGATTATTGGTTGCAGGGTACAGTCAGAAACGAAGGAAGGTCAGTGTGTGGTTCTTGATAACTTCCTCTAACTATGGACAAAAATGTCTATCTTGATTTCCCTCCAGACCCATGACAGCAAAGAACACCTGGCAATGATGGAGCGAATACTGGGGCCTTTGCCAAATCACATGATAAAGAAGACCAGGTAACTGCATTTTTCTGTACCTGGACTGCTGTGGTTTAATTTAAATATTGTCAGATTTGGTTTAATAGCAAATGTTTTTAAAAAGTTTATTAAACTTAGATTCATCCTTTTGCTCTATTTAACAAGCTGGCCACTCTTGTGGAATACTTCCCAGCTCAGTTCCCAAGTTGTGAACAAACATGCTAATAAACTTCTAGTGAAGGGACAAAACAGAATCTTTGAATAACAAAACTGTGGTCTCTTTGTTTAAGGAAACGCAAATATTTCCGTCATGACCGGCTGGACTGGGATGAACACAGTTCTGCCGGTAGATATGTCTCAAGGCGCTGTAAGCCACTGAAGGTAAGACAAGAGAGGGGAAATGCTTTTGGGGAGAGGAGTTTCAAGTGCAATGGCAAGATTACCAAAACATGTCTTCTTGTCTACTTCATGAAGGAATTCATGACCTGCCACGATTCTGACCACGAGAACCTCTTTGACCTCATTCAAAAGATGTTGGAGTATGACCCAGCCAAGCGCATTACTCTTGAAGCGGCACTGAAACATCCTTTCTTCTTCCCATTGAAACGGGAAAAAAGGGCGCTGTCTCCTATAGCTGAGCAGGCTGACGTGGATGTCAGTCCACCAAAGAAACATAAACAATGTTAAATATTTATTGTGTACAGTTACTTTGTAAATGTCCTATTTTGTATTATGACTTTTGGATACTGAAGTTTTAATCCAGCTGCTGGCATAAAACTTATTTAAGGAAAAGATACTAACGAACCTGGTTGCGTTTCCTCAGTAAGTAAAAGTCTCAGGACAGTTGCACCTTCAGCACGTGGAAAAGAGCACCCTCTACTCCATAAAACAGGCCTCCCAACAGCACGGAAGTAGTATTTTAGTTATGTTTTATTCAACTGTCATTAGAATAGCAAAATACCTAGAACTGATTTTTATCCTTTAGCATGACTGATGCTTCCTTTCTGGGTAAGAGAACAGAGACAGCCCTTGACATGAAGTGTAAGGATGGCCTTTATTTGTTTAAAAAAAAAGTTACAAAGTAAGGAAGATCACTGTAGTAGCGAACAGATTGCACTGGGATCACATTTTTCTTTTTTAAATTTTAGTAGGTGTACTCTGGTTACCAGTATTTCAGTTAATGCTCATTATTAGCTTACAACAGCACAGACTTCAGTCTTTTACCAAATCTTTCTTGGATTATGAGCTGTCCTGAGAATTTCCATTAAGAATTCAAAGTTTGGGAAGCAGATAAGCTGTTTGGTTTAACATGTCAACTGCCAGCATAAAATAATCTCTCAACTTCACGGGGAGGGGGCAGAGTTTTGTCCGCCTTGCCTTCCAGCAGTCGTGCGTTTACAGAGCAGCACAAGCCAGCTGCCCCCCTGACCCAGCCCTGCTAGCAACATAGGCCAGGGCTCTAGAAAGCTGTTGGGCAGCTGTACGTGGAACACTCTTCCATGAGAGAAGTGGCAAGACTTCCCCCAGAATCTTGCCTAGCTGCGAGGCAGCCTCGCAGCCCCTCCAGCTGTGCCATCCCTCGGGAACACAGGCCCGCAGCAGTGGCAGCCAGCAGGCTCAGAGATGCCGCTCTTCATACCCACCATGGTTACTGTTCACCAGAACAGCTGCTCTCCAGCAGGACACTGAGCTCCCAGAAGTGGGGCAGCCACCTCACCCAGCCGTTGGAATAGAGGATTGCTTTATGCTGGAAGTATAGTAAGAGATGACAAAGTCCCTGGGGAGATGGACAGCCACCTATGAATGGGGTTATTTGGAGCAAGTGGTAGAGATTGAGGTGTCACACCGAGTTACCACACGAGCCATGGCCTCTTCACTTTGGAGGCTTTTTACAGTTTAATTTGCAAACAGAACTGCCATAAATCTCATTCACCATATCATGTCTGCTCAAATATAGATAGAAAACCCAAGGGGTAGGTAAAATGGATTTTGTTGTGGAAGGCCTTAAATTACATTATTACAGTAGAAAATACAGGAGGTAGAATATAACTGAAAGGACAAATGCAGGTTAGAGTCAAATCTATAATAGCTCCTGTAAGCTACTTAAAACATGGTTTTAAAAACTAAACCCAGTATCTCAATAACTATAGAAAACAGTTAAAATAAATTGCCATGAGAGCCCTTATATCATGCTTGATACAGGGAGGTAGGATGTAAGAATCAGAAGGACACATGAGACATGACACTTATCTACAGCTCCTGTTTGCTTTACTGAGGACAGAGATTCACAGGTCAGTCACCCTCTTCAGCTTCAGACTCCGACTCTGGAACAGAGAGACCTCATCAACAGGCTGCCAGCAGGTCAGCCCGCCCCCCCCAGCCCCCAAGTTCAGCCGCTGCCCTGCATCCCACGCAATGCTGCTACTG